TCTTATCATGAACTGGGTAGTTCTTCTCTGCAGCTTTGGGCTGTCGAGATTAGATCACCCGATCTCGCCCCTCGGCGTCTGCTTGCAGCAGTGCGCAGCCGATGGCAAAGTCTGACGTGTCACAACGACGCTGAAAGGACGATCAGGGACTGGCAGCGCCAGTATTGGTGCATGCTGGAGGCCGTCTTTGTCAAAAGCCTCCTGATGCTCGGTGTTCCAACACCATTCCGTATCCTTTTTAAGGAGATTGGATAATGGTCAAGCCATTTCTGCGTAATTTACGCTGTACCTGCGCAAGTAATTGGCAAGACCAAGCCACTTACGCAAGTCCTTCTGTTTTTTTGGAACCGGCCAAACTACAATGGCCTTGACCTTAGCGTGATCCGCTCGAAGGCCACGCTTCCCAATGAAGCACCCTAGGAAGGGTATCTCTTCTGCGCCAAAGATGCACTTGTCTGCATTGGCGTACAGTTTGTTCGCGCGCATGCACTCGAGCACCACTCAGAAATGGACGATGTGGTTCTCCTCATCCGTCCTCCCGTGCTCCACATGACTGTGAACGAAAATGTCGTCAAAGTATGTCTGTGCATACGCCCTGTGGGGCCTAAACAACTGCGTCACGAAACGATTAAATGTTGCTGGTGCATTTGACAGCCCTTGGGGCATCACCAGCCACTCCCAGAGCATACCGCTCGGAGTGCTAACCGCAGTCAGCAAAACATCACTCGCTCTCATGAGCAATAGGTAATATCCATCAACCAAGTCGAATGCACTGTACTTCGTACATCCCACCATGTTATTCCGAAGAACAGTCTATTTAGGAATCAGCGTCTGAGCCGGAATGGTGGCTGCGTTGATCTTATTGTAAGCATGAACGATACGCCACTTGCCGCTCGGCTTCCTAACACAAAACGTGGGTGTCGAATGGGGAGACTTGCTCTTACGTACCATCCCTGCGTCGTGCTTCGCACAGAAAAAGGCGTCTATGACGTCGCACTGCTCCTTGGGCAGGAGCCATTGGCGTATTACGCAGTATTTGATTCCAGGAACCCGGTCGATCTGATGACGCACACCTCGGTCCGGAGGTAGAACCGAAGGCGGGTCTTTGAAAACGACGTCCTTAATTACTTTACCAAAGGATAGTACGGATCCAAGGGATTCCGTAAGATAGACGATCCACTCCGTGCGTTCAGCACTCTCTTGGTGCCCTCCAAGACAGCTTCATCCAGAAGCAATGACGCGTTTATCTTCTCGTCCGGTCGTACAATGACCACTTCGGCCAAATCGCCTGCCTTCAAGGCACTGCCGAACTCTTAAAGGGACATCTCTTCCAGCTCAAGAAGACCATCTACTGCAGGCATAGCCTCGAGGCGGACGCCACCATCTTCCTCCCCCGTCATACTGTTGACGAGGGTGTATAACTGTGTACCGTCGTCTACGGTAGACACACCCTGGATCAGG